ATAATACAAAGCTACACATTTGATACAAGGGCATAGAAGTATACACACACACTGTACCAATTTCAGTTGCTGACTCAATATTGTACTCTAGCAAGGCAAGATGTCACCACTGGGGAAAATGAGTGAGAGGAACACGGGATCTCTTTGCACTATATTTGCAACCTCCTGTGAATCTATAATAATTTCCAAATTTAAAAAAGTCAGATTGTAACTTCCATACGCATTTTTTAAAGAGGCCAATCCACTCTTGTCATATATAGGAGAAAAATGTGTATTTCCCCATGGAAATACGTGGGCATGACACCCTAGAAAACATGTCATCAGCTGTCTCCCTTACTACTATGATTAAGTCTGGATGTGAGAAATAAGATCACAGCCATTTCCACACATACACAAAAAAATACAGGAAAGGAAAGAACGGAGGTCACATTCAGGAGCATTTGGTGCACCTTAAAACCAGCAAACACAGTTTGTGTTTATATGTAAAATGAGGTACCCGTCAGGCTTCAGTAACTACAAATTGTTCTCACCTCTGTGAGTATCAATAGGGTCTCTGAAAGACATACAAGCTGAGGGCACTTCCCCGAGGAGGGACAGCTGTCACACATAAGTCATTTAGCGTCTGCAGTCCCTGCCCATTAAAAGGCAGCAGCACTCTTCCAACACCATGTCAATCAGAAAAGCCCCGAGATGTTCTGGGACATCCCCAGGGAGGAGTATGAACTCCCTGAAGCATACCTACTGAAACAGAGGGACGCTGCGCCCTGCTGACCTCTCAGTGACAGCGGCTTTCTCTCCGTGTCCCACGGGTGCTTCTTGGTCCTCACCACCACCTCCACACCACTGCCCCAAGGGTCATCTCTGACTATGCCGCTGCTACTTCGTCTTGCCATGGTCATCAATTCCTATGATCTTGCAGCTGGCCAGGCAGTTTTCTTCATCGCTTCTCCTGCCCTGCTTCTTTGCAATTTCCTTATCCACATGGATAATTTTCCAGGAACTTTCACTGTCTCACCGCTAAACTATCTCAACCAGCCACTCCCATGATCAAACCTGCATCTTGTCATTACCAATAACTGCACACATTTTTAAGTGAATTTAGCATTTCCAATCAGTTACCCCTACCTTCTCACCTCACTTTCTCTAGTACCTTCTGCTCTAATGATCCTCTGAGTCATTCAAAACTCCACTTTACTGAACCTGCCTTCGCTCCACCATCCCTGGCCCTGGGAGGGCTTCCTCACCCTCCTGACACACTGTGTTCCATCACACTGTTTAATCATCCTCATGCCTCATGTCTCTCTTTCTCCTTCTGGCCCACTTGGCAAGATCTAGCCCCAGCCAAACCCAACCCTCCATCTACTCTGTACTTGCCTCCATGGAGGTAAACACAGCTAAACAAAGACCTACCACCATACTGATGGGTCTCATCCTAAACTCGTGGTTGTGAACCTTAAGCAGTTAAACTTCCTGTGTTTTCTGGGTCCACTTCCCCAGCTGCTCATCTATGCAATGACTTCACCTCCTCCTATGGACCAACAGATTTCATGCCTGCAACATTCCCTTCCTGGGCTTTGTCAGCACTTCTCCTTTCCATGGAGCCTCCACGTGAGTATGAAAACATGCTGTTGTGTGCCCTGTGTTCACCATCCCTCAGCTGCTCCTGTCCCTCCAGCGTCCACTCTGTGTTTCTCCTGCTCTTTACAAAAAACCCTTATGAAAAAATTTATGTGATCTCATCTCTGCCTCTTCTGCTCCCATTCTTCTAATTATTATTACTATTTTTTCAAGTGACTTATTTTTTAGAAGTTTGATTTTGAGCTACCTTTAGATTTGCAGAAGAACTGTAAAAATTGTGCAGAGAATTTCTGTTTTCCCTCACTCAGCTTACTCCAGTGTTAATATCTAATATGACTCATGCTTTTTTGAACTCAAGTTCTCATCATCCACCAAAAATATTCTCATTAAAGTCACTAATGACCTCTGCCATCTCCAACCTGAAGCCAGCCCTGGTCTGAATCACTCTGCTGGCAGTAGTTGGCACAGCTAGGAATGCTGTTTTTGCAATTCGTTCACTCTCCTGTTTCCCATCCCACTCACCATGCTTTTTTCTTCCTATCTTCTCAACTTCCAAATGTTGGAGGGTCCCAAAGCCTCAGTCTTTGTCCCTCTTCCTCCCTACCCTACACATACACCCGAAGAAATCTCATCTACTTCTGACACCTGAAAGCCATCTGTGCTGACAACTCTCAAATGTGCACATCAACCCAGCCCTGCCCTCCCAACTCCAGACTCACATCCAGTTGCCTACACAACAACCCTGTTTCGCTGGAGAAGGCATCACAGAATCAACGTGCCCCAAACAGAGCTCCAGGTCCTTCTGTTTCCCCATGAGCCATTCTTATCTCCATAAGTGGAGCTCCATGCTTCAGGGAGCTCAGATCGAATGCTCTTGAGTCATTTCACTCCTCTCTCTGGCAAGCCCTACACCTGACACAGCAGCATGTTTCATTTCTACCATCAGAATATATCCAGAATTCAGCCACACTGTACCTCCCTCACAGCCACCACCAGGGAGAACCATCCTCACCTTGCCTAGACTCTCAGCCTTCTGACTGGTCTTCATTTCCATGCTGCCTCCTCCACCTTCCATCTGGTCTCACAGCATCAGCCTGAGGTGGATCTCCTCACTCCTCTGTGCAAACCCTCAGACAACTCCCGTGACTGACACTGTTTCCAACCTTTCCTGCCTGCGTTCTAACCACACTGGCCTCCCTGCTGTTCCTGGAATAAGGCAAGGGCACTCCTCTCTCTCCTCCGCTCCACCCCTTTCTCCTGGCTTCTGCTCAAGTCACTTTTTTTGGTGAGCATTTCCCCGAGCCCACCCACCATCACTCTGTGTCCTCCTTACTCTAACTTTCTTTCACAGGACTTACCGCCAGCTGCTATTTATTTGTTTGCCGCCTCTTCTCAGATAGATGGAAGGCTTCGTTAGTAAGGACTTGCTTTTCTGGACTACTCTATCTCCAGCACCTGTGACAATGCCTGGCATACCTCGGATGCTCTATGTGCATTTATTGAATGAATTATTTAATGTATGATAATTATCTCATAAGACCCGACAGAATAAACTGAGAACTTATAAGATTGCAATTGAACATTTTTAATTAAAAATGAAAACATATAAATGTCTATAAATAAATGCTTTAAAGGAAAACAAACACCGGGAAGATCATAAGTGAATGAATATAACATGCTCATGAATAGAGCAAGCTAACAAGGTGGATGTCAATTTGTTCTAACTTAATCTATACATTTTTATCCTAATCAATCTAGTTGGATTCCTTTGAAGGAATTAGACAAATTCACTTCAAAATTAACATAGAAGAAAAGAACTATAAATCACTGTCAAGTCTGAAAAAGTAGAGCAAAAATGGGTTAGAGTGGCTATGAGGAGTTGGCCTAGCAGATACCAACACGCATTGAAATGTAACAAACAGAAGTAGAGTGAATGAAGGGAGAGACCGGGGCACAGCCTGGAGAGCTCAGGAACAGACCCCTGGGCACACAAACGCCTGGCATATACACAGATGAGCCCTCGAATCAATAGGGAAGAAGTTTTGTTTAATAGCACTGGACCTCGCAGTGACCTGGAAAAAAATAAGTTCAGGTCCCTATGTAACATTATCTATAAGGATGGACTCCCAGGTGACATCCAGGGAGAACTGTAAGGATATTTAAAAATAGAGGGGATCTGTGCAACCTGGAAGACACCAAGGACTTTCATGGTTGTGTTTGGGCTTTCTAAAGCAAAGCAAGAAGGAAGGAAGGAAAATAAGGGGAAAAAAAAGAGGATTTACTACAAAGTCATAGATATTTTTAAATAAATATATTAATAGTTACCTGTATTATATATCATATATAATAATATAGAATTAAAATACAAAGATAAAACTTATATGTATACATACAATTTTTAAAAATTGAGAAATAGCAGCAACCAGTGGTCCTCAAACTTGAGAGTGCATCGGAATCACCTGGTGGGCTTAAAACAGGCCGTCAACCCAACATCTGGAATTTGTGAATCAGAATCTAGGGTGGGACTGGAGAATGTGCATTTTGCACAAGTTCCCAGGTGATGCTGATGCTGGATTTGGGGGCACTTTGAGAACCCCTGGCAAAGGTCATATTTGTTGACAGACACGGAGGGGACATTTGCATGGCCTAAGAATGAAAATGTGTATCCAGAATTTACAATCCTGAAAATGACTGAAAGATATTCTATATAATGTACAGAGGAGGCCAAAGGGCTGACAGGAAGTCAAACCAAAACAATAGCTTGCCACTTTGTGCCTATCCACACGGAGGCTGTCAGAGTGGGCTTCCAGCAAGAGATCACGGTGTGCGGGCGCAGCTCAGGCACTGCTCATGTGGGAAGCAGACGAAGCTGTTCTGGAGAGGGATCTGCTGGCCGTCCCAAATAAAATCAAGCACCATCTTCCCATGACTCAGAAAAATATTCACACAAGCCCTAAGAGGTGGTGTTGGGGATTTTCCCTGGGGCTCTCCATGGAATATTTATAGCAGGGAATCGAAGGCAGCCAACATCAACAGGCGGGGGGAATGATGTCCTTGAGAGCAGTTGGAACCACAAACAAAATGTGCATACAGCACAGTGCAATGATCTTAAATATCATGCCTGCCGATAAAGAGCAAAGAAACAGTTTTTATGGCACATCATTTATGTAATTTAAAAACATACGCATGCAAAGCTCATTTCACAAGGTTGTATGCATGCATATTTGGGGACTTAATAGCAAATCTACCAGAGTGCTGGCCCAGAAAAAGGGCTAGGGAGGAGAAAAGGTGCTGGTATCAGGGTTAGAGGGCAAGACGAAAAAAAAGGTAGAAAAATACCAAATAGATCAGCCCTGCATGGGCTCATGAGCATCTGCTCTATACTAAGGATAGTGAACTTACATCTGAGACGCTTCCAAAAACTAAAAGTCCACAGGAGGCTGGGCTCCACCAGACTTGTCTCTGATTGTTGGGTGGGTCTGGAGGGCTAATTGGCACTCAAAGAGGCAGTGGTGGGCCTTGCAGGGTGACCAGGAGGAGAAGCGGGGGCAGACAGAGTTCGATTGAGAATCTTTAATGGGGAAGGGGCAGGGGGCAGAGCTCTGAGCTGCAGCGGGCAAAGGCGCCCGAATACTGCACCTGGAGGCCCATTCTGAAGGAGGGGCTTTGCAGGTCTTCAAGTCAGGAGCTCCTCTGGATGCTCCCCTGCTAACTGCAGCCCTGGCTGGAGTCTGGCATCCCACCTGGGGACAGTGGCTGGAGGTGGCCCTGCCCAGAATGGGAGGAGCTGAGAAGTAGATGAGTGGGAATCCTGCAGTTGGTGGGGGAGGAAAAAGCTGGGGGCCAAGACAGCCAGGTACTGACTTCCCATGAGGGGGTCAAAGCTGGAGGTGCCCCTTCAATACAGCCACACCGAAGGCACCAAGGCAGCTGGGGTAGGATACTCCATCCAGAGATACCCACCATAGTGCACCCATGGGTAAGCCCACAGGGCTGGGTAAGCTTGTCGGGGGAACCCATGCAGGAATGGGCGACACAGCTGTCTGCATGTCCAGCCAGCAGGCTGCGTCAGTTAGAAATTTGTTTCCCACACAGGCACAGAGGCCCCGGACAGAGCCCACACCCAGCCTGGAGGCAGAGGCAGCCGTGAGTATGTGGATTTCCTCCCAGGGCTGGGAGACATGGGAGAAGTTTTCCTGTGTGGCTAGCTCCCAGGAGGTGGCTGTCCCATTGTTGGAGGGATCTGCTCTCCCCAAGCCTGGTGACACATGTTGGGCTTGTTCTCCTGGCTCCCCCACCGTGGAGCAGACAGTGGTTAGAACAGAAAAGAAGAGGTTCAGGAAGGGGTGAGGCCATCCCAGAGTGTCCAGGAGGGTCAAGACAGCACCCTCTGTAGCTCATGGTGGTAGAGAGGGCTGGGGGGCATGCAGTCTTTTTTTGAGGCAATGTCTTGGGTCAAATTAAGAGTCATTCCCTCCCATCCCCATGAGTCCCCAGCCCCCACCTCAATGTGGCACACAAGCACCCCAGAGGACTGATGGCTAAGCTCTGTGGGGGACTGAGGTGGTGTTAGGAAGAAAAGGAAGCAAAATCCCAAAACAGCTATATCCTCCTTGCTGGAGTTACAAACAAGGAAAGCTGGTGGCACGGCGCTCCTCTTGGAGTGTGAGAAGGAACCCCCATGGAGGGAGACTCGACCTACCTCCCGGGCAGGGTGGCCCCCACGAGACCTGCCTCAGAACGTCAGTGAGTGGGCAGGTCTGTTTCCGAAGTGCACTCTGGCTGCAGTGGGGTGGGGTAGAGACCAGCAAAGTCAGGGGCCGGACGGGAGTCAGGGGAGAGGTGATGGCACTTAGAACCCAGGGAAGCAGTGGGAGGGAGGGGAGCAGGTAAGCTTTGGGAACACTTAGAGCATCCTTCCTGACTAGGTGTTGGAGGCGAAGAGAAGAAACAGCTCAGAACAGTGCCAGGTGAGATGGACACACGGATGTACCAAGGCACTAGGAAGGCGTGGGTTTGGGGGAAGACAGGCTGGGTGAAACTGGCCACATCTGTCTGTGTCCCTCAACACCTCCTAAGGCAGCTGATTGCATTAGAAGCCCGGATCCTTCCCCTCGATGTATCCGCCCCCATGTCACATGACCCACTCAGGCTCTGGGTGAAGGGGGCGTTAGTAATGAGTGCCTCTGCGACTGCCATGAGAGCATGCCAGGTCAGCTTGTCAGAGTAGGAGAAACATATGCACAGAGCTGAGGCGCCCCAGGCCTTCAGGGGCAGCCCACAGCACTTGACCTGCAGATGTGAGCGAGCCCTAGACGGTGAGCTTCAAAGTGCTGGGCAACTTCTCCAGGTGATTCTAATCTTGCTACTGCTGAGGCGCACTGGCCCCAAATGGCCTGCAGCTGGCTGCTGACACCTGCCTGACCCCAGCTGAGAGCCAGACCATACTTACGACTGGTCCTGGTCAGAAGCCGCAGGTGTACATGCTGATAGGCGTTTACAGTATGCTCTAAGGGTGTCTTGTTGTTACGCAGTGTGATATTGCAGTAGATGACTGATACACTTTCCAAAATGCCTGCTTCCTAAGAGTAGACAGAGTCTAAGGCTAAAGCAAGAAAAAGCCTGAAGGAATAAAGAAATGGGGTGCTCCTGCCTGTCCCCTTCCTTCCAGGACACATTCTGAGGGGCAGGCCAGAAGGCCAGGCTTGAGGGGAGAGAGGAGCTGGGCTCATTTCTGTCCCCTTGCTGCCCAGAGCGGTGACTGCGAAGACAGATGTGGGAGGGGTACAGGCGGCCATCCCCTCACTCCAGGGGAAGGAGCAGTCAGCTGCCCTCCCAAGTAGCTGAGGGGGCTCTGATGTGCAGTGACTGGTGTGAGCTTAGCGTGTGGACAGGATCCAGGTGTAAATGCAGGTGTTCAGATGCTTACCTGGATGCTAGAAGCCACAGAGACTGGATAGGGAGAGCAGGGGTGCAGCCCCACCATAGCAGATGAACCCACATAATGCTTCCCATTGGTGAGCCTCACACCCACTTTCACACAGATGAAGCCTTCTGTTCAAGGTGGAAATCCTCACTGCACAGAGGATGGGGAACCTCTGAATACATTCAGATTTCCTCAGAATAAATTTCCCAATAAACAAAATGGGGGCAGTTAGAAATTATGTTCAGTTATGGGGGAAAAAAAACCAGCGGTATTGAGTAGCAAGACGATGAGCAACTCCACTGAGAAATGACCAAATGATGGCAATAAAAAAGCCACATAAGCTGGGTCGGGAGATGAGATGTCAATAGACATGAGAAAAGATGTTCAAACTTATTCAAATTGAAAGACTGGGCTGAACTTCTAGGTAAAGATGGCAGGCAACATGTATGTACTCATGAGGGCCCCTCCCCAGCCCCACCATAACAGTAAGGGAAATTGAACAAGCCATTAGCCCACAAGAACAGCTATAATGTGAGAGAAAACAGGAAGGAGATTTGGGTGGTGAGAAAGCAGATGGCCATGCAGGAACTGACTGAGCAGAAGGAGGACGCTGAGGAACGGAAACCTCAGCCAGCAGCGGGGACGCTGAGAAGCCACTTGCTCTCCACCGCAGAGCCACTAAGGAGATGTAGAATTCCTGGATCAGGCAGTGGAATTGGAGATGATACGAAGTGGGATGAAGATGAGACTAAAAGCAGAAGACCAATTAGACTTTCAAGGACTATCCGACAAGTTGCCTGCTGGGAGACACACCTCCCCCAAACATGGCCATGTGCCCTCCCCTTCCTTCTTTCAGCAGAAGAGACTAAAATTTTCTCTGGACTGAAAACTGAGGCAGGGGTGGGAGAAGATCTTTATGTTCTGCTGAGACCCCAGCTCTCTTCCTCTCAGCTCCCAGCATGCCAGCCCAATTCCCTTCAGGCAGGAAAATAAAAGAGCCTTCTTAGGAAAATTTGACCTAAGATTTAAAAGTAATCACAGCACTTTGGGTGGCCAAGGCAGGCAGGATCGCTTGAGCCCAGGAGTTGAGACCAGACTGGTCAACATGGTGACACCCCGTCTCTACAAAAAATACAAAAATTAGCTGGGCATGGTGGCGCTGGGCATGAGACCTGTAGTCTCAGTTACTAGGGAGGCTAAAGCAGGAGAATTGCTTGAGCCCAGGAGGGGGAGGCCACAGTGAGTTATGATCATACCACTGCACTCCAGCCTGGGTGACAGAGTGAGATGCTGTCTCAGTCAATCAGTCAATGGAAAGATCTAAAGGTAGTAACTTTGGCATTTCCCCAAACACAAGACCCAGCCAAATCTTGCAGCCACATCACAAGTTCAGGACTCTCAACCAGCCCTTCAGTGCCTCACTTTTGCATATGAGCCAAAAACTGTGCATCTCTGGACTTCTGCGGAAAGCCTGCAGCATGCAAGTTAGAGATGACCAGCACAAAACTGGACCAAATATAGGGCCATTATTAGATCAGATAGCTCTGCTATCTCAAAGACAGGGAACAAAATAAAACTAAAAAATAAAACTTGGAGGACAAAGAACACGTAGAGAGGAAAAATTCTCAAAGCTAATTAATATCCTCAAAAAAGTAAGACTATATCCTTAAAATAAAGACAGAATACCATGGGAGAAAAGGCACTTTGAACAATAGAATAGCTAAAAAGAAACACACAAGGGTTGGAAAGTGAAGTTGAGGAAATACCCCAGAAAGTAGAACAAAATTACAAAAGTGAAAAGTGGGAGAAAAATAAGTAAAGGGTCACTGGATGTCTAACATCTGAATAACAGGGGTTACAGAAATAAAACTGAAAATGGAGGGGAGTTAATCAAAGACATGATTCAAGAAAAGTTCCCAGACCTGAAGGATGTTTCTAGAGTGAATGGAGCCCATCCAGGGTGTAGTAGATTAATGAAAATAGACCCACACAATGTACACTATTGTGAAATATGAGAACACTAGGTACAAAGAAAATCTTACATTCCTCAAATAAAACAAATACAAAGGTAGCACAATTGGAATGATTTTGAACTTCAACATCTGTCTGAGAAGCTGGAAGAAAATGGAATAGTGCTTTCAAAATTCTAAAGGAAAGTTATTTTCCAACTTAGAATTCTGAACCCAGGCAAAATATAAATTAAGGGTGAGGCTAGAATCAATATATTTTAAAATAGACAAGATCACAAGTTTATCTCCTATGTACTATTCCTCTCTTGGAAAACTACTATAGGACATACAGCATCAAAATGAGGGGGTAAACCCAGACAAAGGAAAGCAAGGGACTCAATGCAGGAGGGAGGTGAGAGGCCCCGGTGACAGCTGTGAGCCAGGCTGGTCTGGGATGGAGCAGGTCAGAAGGTTCCTAGGAAGAGTGCTTCAGGAGGATGGAACTGGTAGTATCCCTGGTGTGTCTGAGCATATTGAGGTGGTGTAAAGGAGCTAAACTCTACAATGAGCTAAATTCTATAATGCCTAGGACTAAAAGCTGTGTGCTAGCATGTTATTTGCAGATATGGAAGTAGATACCCAAATAACTAGCTGGAAAGAGTTGGGAGGGTGGTTGGAGGCATCTCCTTTTCACATCAGTTCTGTGATACTACTTGATTCTACATTGTATATATGAAATTGACACCAATAAGAACCAAACAAAAAGAAAGGACACTCAGTTTTCACTGAGGTTGGCCAAGATGGAAAATGTTGATAGTACTGAATGGGAAAACTGGCTGAATTCTTCCTGGTGGGAGCAAAAATTCACATAATCTCTTCAGAGGTCAATTTGGCAATGATGAAAACTTAAAAGAGGCAATTCACCCTCAACCCTGCAAGTTGCTTCTCTCCCTCAATTGTGTATGATGGATCTGGAACAGGAAGCTGTGGGTGGGAGGGAAACCCCAGAAGGCAATCCTAGGTGAAGGAGGGGCAAACACTTGGGAGCTGGTGTCAGCAGGCAGGATCGGGATGGGTGGAGGCCCAGGCTGCAAACCAGCTGACCCTTGTCTTCTAGCCTCCCTGCCTGGTAGGGAAGTCTCACTGTGGAAGCCTGAATTATGCTCTTCTGAAACTTGGCTCTGGGGGAGACAAGGGGTAGGTAGGCTGGCAGCTGGGAAGGGTGAGGAAGAGGGGTGTGTGTGCGTGTGTATATGTGTGTGTGTGTGTGTGTAATGAGAACTGGGCTTGTTTGTAAGATAGCCAACAGGAGGGGAGGGAGCATGCGGGTGCTGGGACAGGGAAGGCTGATTAGGGCACCCCAGATGCTGAAGAAGGAGGTAGATGAACAAGGTCAGCTTTTGTCCGGGAGGCAGGATGTCCCGTCCGAGAAAAAGGAAAGAAGACTCACCCCCACCGACAAAAGCTGCTCTCTCTCCTGAGATCTCGAACACACATGCCCGACTCTCCCAGCAGGCTCTTTAGTGCTGAAGTGCTCCTGAGGGCAGCCTGCAGTCTTGGGTGTCCCGGCAGCACCACAGTCCAAGGTCGGCCGGGCGCTGTGCCCCAGCCCTGATGCACCAGCCTCCTCCTCCCAGCTCCAGAGCAAGAGGCAGTTCTGAGGCCCCACACTTGGTGCCCTTATGTGAGGGGGTGGAGCCAAACACTGTGGTGTGAGGGGGCGGGGCCGGGCCCCTGGTGTGGCTCAGGAAGACGAGGGGATCAGGTTCCCTGTCAAAGGTCCACCTCTCCAGGGCTGTCTTAGGCGAGAAACTGGTGGGGTCAATCCAGCCATCTGTTTAATCCCAGCAACAAAGGTACTCACGGCAAGTGCTGCCCACTGGCCAGGAGAGGGGCAGAGCATGTAATTGACCTACTTCTCTGAAGTCAGAGGACGATGACTCCAGGAGGAGGGTCTGAAGGGAGTGGGAGTCAGCCCTGCCAGGTGGAGTGGGGCAGGGACCTCAAAGGCGGATGGCAGCCCAGCTACCAAGCCTCCCGAGGAGGGAGCAGACCCCTCCCAGGAGCCCACAGGCCACTGGGGCTGCAGCTGGGGCCAGTGGGGATACAGGGCTGAGTCAGGTGGTCCCATGCTCCAGGGACCTGGGGGCCCAAGTAACCACAGCCATGGTGGAGGTTTAGTTAAAAGGGCAGGTTTGGCCGGGCGCGGTGGCTCACGCCTGTCATCCCAGCACTTTGGGAGGCCGAGGCGGGCGGATCACGAGGTCAGGAGATCCAGACTATCCTGGCTAACATGGTGAAACCCCGTCTCTACTAAAAATACAAAAAAATTAACCGGGCGTGGTGGCGGGCGTCTGTAGTCCCAGCTACTCGGAAGGCTGAGGCAGGAGAATGGCGTGAACCTGGGAGGCGGAGCTTGCAGTGAGCCGAGATTGTGCCTCGGCGCTCCAGCCTGGGTGACAGAGCAAGACTCCGTCAGGTTTGAGTTTCAGAGCAGCAGAGCTTTGCTGCAGCCTGAGGGCCAGGATGTGGGGAGAGCAGACAGCAGGCTCTGAAGGGTTTCTTGGGTTAGCCATGAGCCCTGGTCAGGAGAGGACCCTGGGAGAGAATGCAGCATGACAGTGGACACCTGGGTGAAGGGTGTGGAGGTTTTCACTGCTGTGGTGCCGCACGCACCTGACACAAAAGGATGGACAGGTTCTCCTGAGTCCATCTCCACCTATCTACCTTCAGCTTTTTGATTGTGCTATTCCAGTCCTCATAGCTTTCCCTATTTTTTGTGTACTTGATTTGGAGTTTTCCCAAAAGTGTGTGTTAAAAAATCTCCCGTGAAGCATGTGGATTTGCCATTTTCTTCTATATTTTTGTTGCTTTTTTACTAACACATTTTGAAGCCAATTATTTATATAGCAATTACCAGATGCCAGGCACTGTCCTCAGTACTTTCCCAGTATGAACTCATTTAATCAATGTGAAATATCCTAACAATAGGAGGTTAGTTTAGAAAATTACACAGTAAGGACTTTGAGAAAAATGTAATAAAAGTTTATTGATTAACAAGGAAAATTGTCCATGATATATTATGAAATGAAAAAGGCGAGTTACCATGCAGTTTATACAAGCTCATTGCTTTTATTGTGATAGAAAGAAATGTTATCTATGCATAAGAAAAAGGTCTGGAAGTGTGCATACCAAAATGATGACATAGATTATCTTTGGGAGATAGAATCATGGGCTATCATAATTTTTTATTTATACTTATATGCATTTTCTGGTTTTAATAATGAGGATCTATTAGTTGATAATTTAAAAAATAAGTCATTTGGTAAGGACCCTATTTTTCAAAACATGAAATTGAGAAATTGCAGATAAATGGACTGAAAATTCTTTGATTAATAATAAACTGCCTAATATAAAAATACAAAGATCTGGACACACAGCTGTGTGAGGCAGAATTAGAATTAGCCATATCTGGGTAAGGAGAGATGAGAAATCCAAACCACTAAAGTAGAGATGTTCCGTTAGCCTCAGGAGTTCTCAGACTTTACATTATTTAGCTCAGAGGGCTTGTTACAGCACAGAGGGCTGGGCCCAGCCCCAAGTATCTGATTCTCTAAGTCTGTGATGAGACTGAGAGCTTGCATTTCTAGCAAGTTCCCTGGTGATGCCAAGGTTGCTTGTTTGAGAACCAACCACACTTTGAGAGCCCTAGCCACCCCTGGAAGTTAACATGGCATTGATTTATATGGTGTGGCTAGTACATACTCATTATTTGAACGTTGGAAAAAACCCATAAAACCATTTGGGCCCAGAACTCTTTTAGATATGACTTAGCTTTGCTCATGTTTGTGGTCTTCTCAAAGGCCTTCACTTCTTGAATCAATTTTGGTTAATTTATTTACAATATTCCATTTCTCCGAGATTTGCAAATCTGTTAGCATTGAACTATACATAGTGCACTCATATAAATATTTATACTTCTTTCTGCTACACTAGTCTGGGTTCACAGCTCTCTAGTTCCCTCCCCAATACAGCTGTGACCCACAGCCCTTCCAGGTAAAGTGGCCTTGGAGGACAGTGATCATGTCCCCCTCAGTCTACTGTACTGAGGGCGTGGTTTGCATGTTCTGTGACCCAGTGAGAGTCCTATTCAGGCTCTGAGCAGTGTGGACATTTGCCCTGGGAAGTCCCTCTCAGGTAGACTCGGGGTGTATGTGTAGAATGCTGCCCTGGCCGTTTTCATAAGCACAAGTTCCTTTCACAACTTTCCCTGCTCCCACTTACCAATCTCCAGCTCACTCACCAAATTCCCTTAACAAGGAATAGAGGACCCCTATGTGCCAGGTCGTTGGTGCTGGGGACACCATGGTGAACCAGATAGGCACGGTCAGTGCCAAGAGGGACCTGAGCCTAGTGAGGGAAGAACAGACATTAAGTATAACACACAAAGAATATTTAATTGCATGTTACACTGAGGGCTGTGGAGGAGAAAGAGGGTGCTCAAAGGAAGCATTACAGGGAAGCATATTGGTCTGTGCAGCATAGAAGGCTTTTTCAAAGAGGGGGCCTCTGACTTTAGCCTGGAAGACTGGGTAGGAGTTAACCAGGTTGAGAGGAAGGGAACCGGAAAGTACATTCTAGGCAGAGATAGCAGGTTTTACAGAGCCAGGAGGAGCATCATATGATTCGGAGACTGGAAGGACCCCAGGGGCTGGAGCAGAGAGGACAAGGCCATGTATTATAGGCTACAGAGCTAGGCAGAGCCAGGTTATACTGGGCCTTAGAAGTATGGGCCCACTGGGCACGGTGGCTCATGCCTGTAATCCCAGCTCTTTGGGAGGATGAGGTGGGCAGATCACCTGAGGTCAAGAGTTCGAGACCAGCCTGGCTAACATGGCACAAACCCACCTCTACTAAAAATACAAAAATTAGCCAGGTGTGTTGGTGCACGCCTGTAATCCCAGCTACTCGAGAGGCTGACGCATGAGAATCGCTTGAACCAGGGAGGCAGAGGTTGCAGTGAACCTAGATCACGCCATTGCTCTCCAGCCTGGGCAACAAGAGTGGGATCAGCGAGTTCAAGGGAAATTGATTGTTCCATGATGTGTTTTGTGAGGAGAAGTGGCCAGGCTTTTTGATGGAGTGAGTGTAAGGGGAAAACAGATAAGATGTCAAGGATGGCCCCCAACTTCTGGCTTGCACAGAACATGAGCGGGAGGTCAGGAACCTTGGAACAGAACAAGTGCAAGGGAACCACCTGGACACTGGCTTTGGCTGCGTTTGAAGTGCCTGTGAAATCTTAAGAGCTGTCGAGTGACCCATTGCCTGCAAGGTCTAGGCAGCCGGCTGAACCCCAGCATCACCAGCGGGGGCATTTGGTGGATGTGGAGGCTGGTCCTGTGGGCAGGGACCCCAGATCTATCCCACATCTGTCCCAGCTTTCCTCCCAACACTAGGGCAACTTTGTTTTCAGCAGAAAGCACTTAATATTGACACTTGTAACGAGACAGAATTGCTTTGTAACTGTCTCCTCTTGGATGACCATTCTGTCAACCTCATGGGCTGCCCCTCCCTGCTTCTCTCCCCTTGGCCAGGAGAGGTGTAAGTTGCCCTGGGATGCCTGCAGCTTCTCCTGAGGGTGATTGCTTCAGCTGGCTCTGGGCACTGCAGCCTGGCACCTGCTGATCTGGGGTGGGCCTCCAGTCTCTTGGCTTTGGAGAGCTGGTGTCTACTGCTCATGTCCCTAGTCACTGCTGTGGCTGTGGTGTAGAGGGCGTCTCAGCCTGATGCTGGCTGCTTCTGGCCCACTTATCTACACAGTCGTTCCACACCTGCTCTGGACTCAGGGGGTTCTGGCTGTTTTGCCAAAGGTATGTGGGACCCTGTGATTCACCGGCACGCAGGCTTCCAGGCGCTTTCTCAACCTGCCCGGTGTTTGCAACGTCTTGCTGCTCCCAGGACTGGTGAAGGTGGAGGAACTGAGGGGACACTGGTCCCCCTTCTTGGACCCAGTCAGCTTCCACACCATCCTCCTCCTGCTGACCTCCCTGCGCGGCAGAAACTCCCTCCTCAATCTCATCCTGCATTTCCCCAATGATGCAGTTTATGATGAAGATCTCGCTGTTCAGTACTGTACTAACTCACTACTGTCCTTTTTTATCTTTTTAGTTTTAACATAATTATAGATTCACAGGAAGTCAGAAAGATGGTAGAGAGGCTGTGTGCCCTCCCAGCTTCCCCTAGTGGTTGCATCCTACAAAGCAATGGCACGATGCCTGAACCAGGACACTGGTGCTGGCGTGATGAGGGCTGAGTCCCATGCCTCTCATCATGGGGTGATTCATGGAACCTCCACCCAAATCAAGATGTAGAACTGCTCCCTCTTCACAAACAGAGCCTGCACTCACTCTTCACTCTAACTCCAGACCATCCCCCACTCCAGAGACCAGTTGTTTGTTCCCCATCTCTACAGTTTCTGTCTCGTTGCATATTAAAACTCAGTTTGGGATGTACTTAGGAAGCAGTTTTCTCTCTCAAGTGCTGGATCTCCTGAGGCTCTCAGGCCTGCAATTGTGCTCATCCTGTATGAATGTAGGTGCCGGCCCTGTCCTCCCCACAGGGGCAAGGGAAGCCCAGGCGTTCAAGGATGGAGGATGTGGGACCCCAGCCTGCACAATGGAAATCCTTTCTGCAGTGTTTTGGAGCACCTGCCCAGACCTGGAATCCGAGCCCTGACTCTCTGCTTCTGGACTTGCATCTTCTGACTGGAACCTGGTCTCCTTTACTCCTGTGAGGGTGCAGGAGCACCTCACTCCCTCAGAAGCCCTTCCCAGGCTTGTGCTGGGCTGTAACCTGAGCCCCCTGAAGGAAGACTTTCTCACCCAGGCCCCTCAGGGCTCTGCAAAGTGGACCCTGTTACAGGGCAGGGCATGATAAATGTAGATTTCAAAGCTGAAGATAGATCTTCCACCTCTTTTCACAAAATTTCATTTCTATAAATCTCATTTGAATTTCTTTCTACCACCTGCAGAAGTGGACACCATTAGCCCATCTACATTTCAGGACCATAGAAAGCACCGAAACACGGCTGCCCCCTTGGCTGTAGTGACAGGGCACAGACAGCCATTGCCGGGGCAGGGAGGGGCCTGTGGCAGTGATGGAAACATTCCACCCCTCAGTCATGGTGCTGGCTATGTGCCTGAGTTTATTTGTCAAAACTCAAACTTTATACCTAAAATAGATGAATTTCACTGTATATAAATCACATCACAAGCTGATGAAAAAAAAAAAGCCAATTTGGGAGGGACTAAGGAGGGCATCCCAGGCGTGGCCATGAGGAGGGGGAGGAGGAGCAGCCTGGGAAGCAGGCAGAGCGTGGGCAGGGCAGGGTTTGGGGAAGCAGGCCTTGTACATTTCAGTGACTTCACTTTCTTCTCAGGGGTGCACCCACAGAACTGCTTGGCCCCAGGTAAACCCTGGCATCCTCCATCTACCAACCAATCTTCTCTCAAACTCCAGCAGCGGCCACACCTCCTAGGAGGCCTGCGTGTGTGCATTTGTGTTTGCGTGTTCAGTGTTGTGTGTGAGGGGAGGACTGGGGCTTGAGGTTTAGGCTGACAGTATGGAGCAGAAAGCAGGGCTCTGAGCTGGAGGAGAGAGGTCCATAGGCCAGTAGTGGAAAATGCAGACATCCTGATGGAAGGGAAGGAACAGAGCTTCCTCCAGGCGTGAAATGAGCTGGAGATGTCCCTCAATAAAGCCCAATAAAGGTGTAGGTGAGGTCAGCAAGCAGGTGTAAAGTAATAGGGAGAGGCTGACAGGCAAGCCACAGACTGCAGTGCACAGACTGACAGGGGACTGCAATCCAGAATGTATTCCAAGGTTTTCATATCAATAATAATACAAAAAAGATGGCTGGGCACTGTGGCTCATGCCTGTAATCTCAGCATTTTGGGAGGCCGAGGCGGGTGGATCATGAGGTCAGGAGTTCCAGACCAGCCTGACCAAGATGGTGAAACCCCGTCTCTACTAAAAATACAAACAATTAACTGGGCATGGTGGCACGCGCCTGTAATCCCAGCTACTCAGGAGGCTGAGGCAGAGAACTGCTTAAACCTCGGGGGGTGGAGGTTACAGTGAGCCAAGATCATGCCACTGCACTCCAGCCTGGGTGACAGAGTGAGACTCCATCTCAAAAAAAAAAAAAGACAAAGAGCCCAGGGGAAAGCAGATTTGAACAGACACCTCACAAGGGGGGTATGCAAATACCAATAAACTTATGAAAAGGTGCCCTGCCTCATTGTAACTGCAGAAATGCATATTGAAACCACAGTGAAATGCTGCTGCATGGCTGAAATAAAGTCTGACAATACCAAGAGTTGACACTGGTGTAGAGCAACAAGAAGGCCCCTACACGGTAGGAGTGCAGATAGGCACATCACTTGGAAGCATGCTTAGCATTAGTAGCAAAGTAGACCTGTGCATAGATCTAAAAGTTTCCCTCCTGGCTCTGTACCTAATGGTTCTGTACTTATGTGACTACATACCTTAAAGTCACCAGGCCTAGCACTCTAATAGAAAAGCAGGCACCCTGATCCTGCCAGCTGCCCTGAGGGAGTAGGTAAGCACCTAATAATTTTTAAAAGAGTGAGACATTATTTTTCAATTAAATTGTCAAATATTAAAAATAGAGAAAATCCACTGTGTTAGGGAAGTAGTAGTCATCTTCTGTTAGTGCCATTAATTGGTACATCCTTTGGGAGGATCACTGGACACTGGGGATCAGGGTCTGACAGGGGGCCTGCATGCATCAGCAATTCCACTTAATGACCAAGACACACCCATAGGAGGAAAAGAAAATTCATTGTACAGGTGACTTTGGGCCTTCTTGTTCTTTTCTGAAGGCCTGTTTTATGTTATCCATGTATTTACTCTCCCCACATGCAGCTGAGAACCAGCTGGGTGCATTCTAGGAAGAACCCTATGTGACATGGATTGGCATTGCACTGAACCCCTGACTTACTCTGGAGGGTGATGGCATATTTCATGACACCCCTCAGGCACGGTTCAGCCCTGCATTTGTTCAAGTCTTCTGTGTTGACCCCATCTTAGTCCATTTGGGCTGCTATAACAAAATACCTTAAACAGGGTGACTATAAACAGCAGAAATTTATTTCTCACAGTTCTGGAAGCTAGGAAGTCCAAGATCAAGGAGCCAGCAGTTATGGTGTCAGGTGAAAGCTTTCTGCTTCTTAGAAGGTACCTTCTTGCTGTCCTCACATGGTGGTAAAAGGGGCCAGGAAGCTCTCTGAAGTTGCTTTTATAAAGGTACAAATCACATTCATGATGACTTCACCCTCATAGCCTCATCACCTCTCAAAGGCCCCATTCCCTAAGCTATCACATTGGTGATTAGGTTTAAACATATGAATTTGAGAGGAGTAGCATAAAGATTCAGATCATAACAGTCCCTTAATGCAAGGGTCCTCAACCCCTGGGCCACAGGCTGGTAACGGTCCATGGCCTGTTAGGAACTGGGCCACACAGCAGGAGGTGAGTGACAAGGCAGTGAGCATTACCTCCTGAGCTCCACCTCTTGTCAAATCATTAGATTCTTGGCATTAGATTCTCATAGGAGTTGGAGCCCTATTGTGAACTGTGCATGCAAGAGATCTAGGTTCCATGCTCCTTATGAGAATCCAGTGTCTGATGATCTGAGATGGAACAGTTTCATCCTGAAACCATCTCCCCTCCCCTCATCCATGGAAAATTTGTCTTCCACAAAACTGGTCTTTGGTGCCAAAAAGGTTGGGGACTACTGTCTTAATAGGATTTTGTCATCTACTGTCTAAGAAATCACGTCTTTGGTCAGGTTTATTTCTAAGTATGTATAAGTTTGGTTGTTATTGCTAATGTGCTTTCAATTTCTAAGAAAAAATTCTAATTAGTTATTACTAGTCAATAGAAATGTTATTGATTTTTGGATGTTGATCTTATATACCTTATTAGTGCTTACCATGTGCAGGGCACCATTCCAAGATCTTCGCATGTATAAACTTAATTAACAACCCTTTGGGGTATGTACTAATGATATCTCTAATCTGCACTGTGAAAAAGAGGCCACAGAATGGTTACTTCCTTGTAGAATCTGTTAGATATTCTAGATATGTGACTATATTGCTTATAAATAATGACAATTATTTCTCTCCCTTTCCAAAGCCTGTGCTTATTCTTTTTTCTTGTTAACTTGCATCCACTCAAGCTGATACTGAGTAGTGCCAGTGGGAGCACATACCCTTGCCCACCTCCTCCCTCCAGTGGGCACTGTGTTCCTGTTCCCAGAGTTCGACGTTTGAGGCAGATTTCAGGTAGAAGTTCTACTCAGTGGAAGAAGATAACATCTATACATGGTTCACCAAGAGTCCTTACTGTGAATGAGTTTTGGAACTCGCCAAATGTTTTTTCCAGCATTGATTGAGATGAATATGTGGCTTTTCTCTAGTCTATTAATGAAGCGAATGACATTATGACTTTTCTCATGTGAAATTATCCTTACAGTCCTGAGCTAAACTCTACTTGGCATTTTCTTTAAAGCACTGCTGAACTTGACTTGCTAGTGTTTTATTTGGGATTATGTCCATCTGTTTATATATAAGATCAGCTGTACTTTCTTAGGGTGTCCTTGATTGGGTTTTCTAACAGGTTTGTGCTTATTTTAGAAATGACTCAGCCATAAGGAACAAAAACAAATAACTAAACCTTTCACCAGCACCTGAGACGAGAAGTTTAGAGGCAGGGGCTGCTGACATTCTTCCAGGCATCCGCTGAGGCCTGGACAACCATCTTTCATCCATGGTTGCAAGGCGACCAGCTCAGCGCCAGGCAGTGTCCATGGCAAGGGGCCAGGCATGGGGAGACACCAGATACCCTGCTGGCTTTGGCCAGGAAGGTAAAATCTTTCCCTGAACCTCCCAGAACATTTCTGCTTGTGTTTCATTGGCCAGAATTGTCATATGGGAACCTCTACCTGCAAAGAAGATGGGCAAAATATTTCATTTTTCCAGCCTTTCTTGGCAGAGTTAAAAAG